ACATAACTACAGTTTTTACTACGTGAGTCACGAAAATCACGAGTCACTTTGTTTGAACCAAGTTCCGTATACTTTTTTTACTTCTTATACTGACGCTATAACATTGAGCCCTTTCTAATTCATACTTACATGTTTTTATAGTACTCGTCAGATGTATTGTGTTATTTCATTACTTACAAAACTAAATAAAAAATAGTTTTTTATATCCATACAAATAAGTAAAGTTGAAGCGTCTGTTGTAATGAAAAATACATCAGATTTTTTGAAAATGTAGGTAGATGATTACATAATATATGACCAAATAATCTTTTTTTTATTGTTGTTCCTCTGTCTGTTTGTTCCGGCTAAACTCGGTAACGGTTATATAGATTTGCAAGGAACTTTTACTTACAAAAAGGTGATGTTACAATAACTTAAATTATAGTACTTTTATTTTGTGAAAGAATTGATGTTTCACGGCAAAAATATAAATACAAGCGAGCGAAATGACAATAATTTACCAATATCATCAAGCTGAAAAGTTTGTTCGATTGAACTTCACAATCTCTAAAATTTAAGACGGGACTCAGAAGAGGGGCAGTGATTCTAAATCCGAGTGAAAAATCTATGAAAGTCAAATACCTATGATTTATAACTATTGAAAGGTTTGACACTAAAATTATGTAATCGATTAGTTCGTGTGCTGTAGGTACTTGTTCATATATCAGTATCATATCACTAATTATCATAAATGATTGTTTGAACAAAATACCACTTAAGCCCACGAGCGACATACAATCTTTTATCGTTCGCAATCATTAACATTGTACCTTGATTTATTTGTATTTATTCAACTTTTAAGTATAAGTAATAGTTTTGATAGTCCTATTATCTTTTTTGTACTATCTTTTCAATATTTGAATATGATAAAACATGTTTAACATGACGGTTGTTTAGTAATTATAATCCTTTTTTGTTCCTGTTTAGACTAGTCAGTAAAAATGTAGTCATCGTCTCAGCAATGACATTAAATATGAATGCTAAATTTATACCCGTGGGTTATCGTCTGCGGTATTTCTGGACCGATACCACCTTCAAACCTTCAAGAAAAGAGCGTACTTGCCGGCCTTTTAGGCTCTCTTCAAGAAGAGAGCCTAAAAGGCCGGCAACGGGTTTGTGACTCCTGAGTTGCAGACGTTCATGGGCGGCGATGGTCATTTTCCATCAGGTGACACGTCTGCTCGTCTGCCCCCTCTAACATAAAAAAAAAACCTTTAAGACCTTTAAGCTGTTTAATAAGAGGAATGACCCACCTGTTGCTAAATTGTCACTTATGAATAATACTAGGTGCGTTTTCTTATCACTGGTTGAAACGTTTGTACGTAAGTCTTAAGTTTGATCCGAATTATCGATGTTAATAAATTAAATGCTGTCGTCATCATCCGTTTGACAAAGCAGTTACGATTTAATTACGTACATCGGTATATAATTAAATATTATCTGCACCTTATATTTACTGCAATAATATTTAATGCGGCAAAGTTGTCGTTTTCAATGATAAGAGGGTATGCTGCGAAAATTATTCTGACCATTAAAATAATTAATTAATTAATCAACAATTCCTCAAGGGACTAAACTGGACCAAATGACGTACTATCCCCATAGAAGACAAATGTTAACAAAGTACTATTGTAATTCCTATACGATAAAATTCCGTATGTCATGTAATAGAGAATGTGTGTTTTCATATGTTTTCGTTTTTGCGTTATTTGTGAAGCCGTGTTTGTGCCCAAGTTTAGTCCTCTCAGGAAACATGAACTTGTGTCATCTGACACAACGCTATCTAGTTTCAAATGAACCAGATCTTGTACTATGAAAGCGAGATTGACTGATGGAATACTTATATCCTTCTTTTTATAAATACACACATATACATAGAAAACACCCAAACTCCAAAACAAATATTTGCAGATCACAATCACAAGAGTTTTGTTCACAATCTCTACATAACCGCGTTGGTGTTATAATTTTAAGTGTTGCGAAAACTACCTCACCTTGCAGACGGAACCCTGCAGAGTATAATAGCTGCGACCTTCAAGCTTCTGCTTTCTCAAACACTACGGCATGCAATAACAGAACAAATTAAAGTAACGAAATAAACATAGATACTATGTATATAAATAATAGCCTAGATACTAGCTTTTTTAAGATGCTTCGCTTGCGATGCTTATCTATTGCAATCAAATTTTCCGGCTTAGAGTAATGTATTAGATCTATCTCTAATAATATAATATATCTCACACATTTTACACACGGCCGTCTGATCCCAAACTAGGCAGAGCCGGTACTATGGTAACGCAGACTGCTGATAAACATACTTATAAATTTTAAAATACATACATATTATAGATAAATTAAACCCAGACACCGAACAAATGACCGTGCTCATCACACAATATTTGTCCTGGGTGGGAATCGAACCGACGACCTCCAGTTTAGCAGTCAGGGTCACTAACCACTAGACCAACGGCCCGTCTATTCCAGAACATAATCTATCTATATGCAAAATTTCCTAATCCCTTCTGCTAAACAGCTAAACAAATAAAGATGTATTTTGATATACATTTATTTAAGTACATGTAACGTGAAATGCCTTATAAATTAATAGGCAAAAACCATAGAGCAAACCGGTCTGCTGTCTCTTGCTCTATGCCCAAAAACACGTAATTAAATAAAAAATATTGTGTGTATGTGTGTGTACGTATGTTTATGTGTATGTAGATACAATATAGACATACTACTGAGTACAATTATTTAAAAAAAAAATTACCTCCCCATAAGTGCACCTACCTCATTATTACTTTGCATCGCCCAATCGGTCGACTGGCAGAGAATGCCTTAGGAATTAAGTCAACCGATGCATATAACAGTGCATAAAGTTACAAAAATTAAAAAAAAGAGTGGTATTCATATTTATTAAGATGTGTAGGGATTAGTCCCTGACCCGTTGGAAGCACATTTTCATATCGTTCCGTCGCCGCGTGACAAAATACTAAAGAATATTCAATTGTAATATAAAATACTTAAGGAGGAAGGAATTTCCTTACGTGTCACTAATGGCATTTTTTAAATAATATTTCAACACATTTTTTTACTTATTTAGTGCTGTTTTATGTGATTGTGAGATAAGGGCTTTGTTATGATATTCGCACGGCCTTATATACTTTTTGATAATCTAGACATTAATAAATTAATAGATATATCGGTATAATTATTTGTAGAAAATTTATATGGCGATGTATCGTTTAAGGGTGCCTAACACATAATATAATTCATAGACGAAAAATTACTTGACTGCGGGTCGATTGCGGTTGCGGATTCGATCCAAACATGGAATAATACTTTGTATGTACTATCCACAAATGGTTATTCTGAGTCTGGGTGTTTTTTTGTGTCAGGATATATTCCCAGTGCAAGATTTGTCTTATAAAAAAATTACACAATTTTCTATGATCTTCGTGCTATACATTACGAAAAACCTCTTATTTCTATTAAGTCGGAGTAATTAATATTTGAAAATCAAAATGTGGTGGTGTTAAACTTCTGGGCCACCCACACACATGGAAATTGTTACAGGGGTAGGTTTTAATTAAAGTTAAAGTAATGCAATGTATGACATACTAATACTTGTAAGTACGTATGTGGTAATGTCGTACATTTAAATGGAAGCTTATATCTATAAGTCATCAAAATGGCAACACTGTATAACTAATATGTATTTTTTTTTATATAAATAAGTAATATGGCAACACTATGTATATACGACCACATTAAAACAAAACACATATGTCAATCATTTATAAATACAATTTAAAAAATAAGCTGGTAAATATATATGTCGATACCATGGCAACACTCACCATATATCACTCACCATCAAAATAAAAACAATTATTGATCCCCAAATCGACTGTCATCATAACATATGCGATATTATAACAATGTTTCAGCGCAGATTATGCGATATTTCGTTTTGCGATATCAGATTTAAATTTATCTATATACCTACTGATACTTTTAGGAAACATCGATTATAGCTTTTAATAATCGAGATATGGCTATATATTATTACACATGTGTAAATATACACACGTTTCAGTCCCGTAAGGGGAAGCAGGACTATAGAACATTCCACAATCCTGTCAATCATACAGCTTGTGCATCTTCCACATTTATCGGACCTTTAAGTACAAAGCTAATCTGGTAAGTATATATCTTTCAGAATCTACCCTCACCAACATCATAGATTGCTTTTAATAGTCCACTGCTGGACATAGGCCTCGTTTTTTACACCTTTTATTAAACAAATAGGTGCATGGAAGCATTTCATAATAGGAATCATCACATCAAATCAAACAGCCTTTAATGGTCCATTGCTAGACATAGCTCTCCTTAGAAAGGAGGTTTTAGCCTACTATACCACGCTGGTCGGTTTAGTGTTAGTTTTGTTTATATGAGGAATACTTAATGTTTATTTATATGTGAAAGAAAGGGCGCTGAGCTAACACTTAAACAATGTGTGTGTGTGTGTGTATAATTCTGTAAAAACCGACTACATAAAACTATAGGGTTCCGATACATATTTTAACCTGTCTTGGTACAAAAGTCTTTTTAGACAATTTTTTTTTTTTTTAAATTGCGTGTATTTCTTTAGGTAAACGGTGTTATTGGGTTAATAATAACAACAAGTATTTTTAGATAGATAACCGAGTTTTTTATCTGTTATTATTTTGACAGATCAGGTTATACTGGTCTGTGCGTTTATTATTTTTATCGTTATTACAAATTAAAATTTCCTTTAAATCTAAAGCTACTTTTAGAAAAATGAAATACATATTAGAATCGAATTATTAGTATGAAATATATTAGGAATTCACACTTTCCAGACACAAAACGAGCTCACCTGAACCCCTCTTTTATATCTGGAGAGAATAATAAACTTTATTTCATAATTGTTACAGATGAAACTGGCACAAACGACAACTCTTACAGTATGGCGTCGATAAATTCAAACGAGAAGAGTCCAGGAGATCCACCAGACAAGAAATTGCCTGAAGTAGACTCTGAGAAACAACCATTATCTGGGGTAAGTGTCTTATCAATATTATATAGCCATATTCTGGAGAAATCTTTTTACCACCATAAACGCTGATGGCCGTTGGGAACAGTTAATCAGTCATTACAAAAGGAGCGTGGTACAAGAAACTTCTGATACTTCGAATTGATAATTAGATAAATCGTTAGCACTCTTTTTTAATTTTTTGGCAATCACTGATGCTTGAAACAGCTCCACTAGAGGCTTATAACCGATTCAAATAATTTCTTCTAAATATTATTTTGTCCAATAACAAATAAATACTTCGCTAAGCATAAAAAATCTGCAGTAGAACAAAGAAGCATTAAAAAATTGCTTGCATTCGTTTAGGTAAACGGTGTTATTGGGTCAATAACAATAAGTATTTTAAGATAGATAACAGAGTTTTATTTATGTCGTGAATGCACGTAAACAGTCTTTTTCGTTTTTTTACTTTGTTTTTTGCTTATCCCTGTGATTAGAAAGAGCCATTAGCAAAAGCGTCATAAAACGACTTATACCCACTCCAAACGGTTTTTTTTTTGTTTTTTTTTTCAATTTAATCGACACTCAAATTAATCACTAACATAAATAAAAAAACTCATATTTAAATAACCAAAATCAATTAAAATCGACCTCATCCGCTCGCACGTGATGTCAACCATTTTAGTAACGTTTAGTGATTTAACGACAAAAGTGATAAAATTTTAAATGGTGATTAAAATTAGTGAAACATAATTTGAATGTTTTAAACATAACACAAAAATATCAGTTATTAATTATTAAAACTAATATTAAAAGTACATTATACATGTATTACATTATTATACTACATAATAACACAAAATATCCCGAACTAATAATTTTGTTTTACACTTCAAGATCGCTCTTTTTTTCAACGTATAACCCAGAAGCCTGAAGAACAATCCAAGAGCATAATCATAGAAACTGATTAAATGTTTATTTAAAAGCTGCTTAGCGGCGGCAACGCTTGTGTCTCCTGAGTCGCAGGCGTTCATAGGCGGCGGTAATGGCTTTCCATCAGGTGACCCGTCTGCTTGCTTGCACCCTCTCCCAAAAAAATCTAAACAAATTCTTGTGTCAAGAAAAAATGACAGAAAATGAGCCAATATTTGACGAATTTTGACAAAACTACATATCAAAAATATCAAATATGATTCCTTCCTGAATGCTCATGGAAAAATTTATTCATATTCTTTAATTCTAAAAATTTATCCGAGGAATATGAAAAATGGCTATTGTGGCTATACTCACAAAACAACACAACTTTATTTGTGTCCAAGTTGAATTGGATTTTTAAATTTGGAATATGTGTAAACAAAATGTTTGTTTTCTTTTTTCATTTAAGTTAATGAGTACGTATTATTATAATTCAAGAATTCGAATCATTGTTCGAAAAAAAACAGCTTTTTAATTCTGTAGCATTATGGTATTTCAATAAGAGTGTAAAAAATTTAAGGTTACGATCTATGACTATAATAATTTATTGGAATTGGCAATAAATATTGAGAATGCAATCAGTGGCTTCACATCATCAACAGCCTTTAATAGTCCACTGCTGGACATAAGCCCCTCCTTAGAAAGAGGTTTCGGTCTACTATACCACGCTGGCCAGACGGGTTGGTATAGAGTTTGTTCCAAGTTTTCCTTCTCTTTGCAGTGCTGTTTAGTCGGCTCTTACGACACCCACGAGATGAATAGGGGTGGTGATACTCCGTATTCTTAATCCGTCACCACACGGATTTCAGATGTCACAGATAATCAGTAGCTTATTTATCATCATATTCGATAAATATAACATTTTTAATGTCAACAAGTATTGTAATTAAAACTAAAGAATTACTCGTAAAAGGAAAAGATAAAGTTCTTGGTATTCGATATCCTTAGTTTATTTTCGATCAACAATACAACTTGTTGATCGTATATCGATAATACAATGTATTGTTGATCGAAGTTAGTTCTTATTGTTCCAGGATTTAAATCTAATCTAAATTCCACAATGATTATAATAACAATAATATTTTGGACATTTGACACACAACTCCATCTAGTAGTTTAAACTAATAGATTGACTGATAATATATATATATTTAAAATCTTTAACTTCTAAGGCGATAGGCAAGTCATTTAAGTAATTAAACAAAATTGAAACAAGTTTTCACCTAAGTACATAGTCCTTGACCTATATAAGGACGAAATAACGGAAAATCCCTATAAAAATGTAAACAACTACGCACAAATGCTATGTGACCTCAAAATATAAAATAAAATACCTTGTCCTTATTATTTGTTATTATCTCCTTGTTAATTTATAATAACAAATGGATTGTCTTTGATAATGAAATAATCAGTTGGTATTATAAGTCTAAAGTGTTTTTACTCATTTATTTGGACTCAATATGTTGTGAAAGTTAAAGATAAGCGGCCTATGCTGACACATTACACTTAGAAAACATTCATAACCTAACTAATCCTGCACGGATCCTGCAGAATGCACGGATGGCGTAGTGGTTTAAGCCGTCGCCACGCCGCTTCCTACTACGCCGAGTGTTGTGGGACGACACTTAGTGTGATCCACAAATTGTTGTTCTGAGTCTGGGTGTTCTTTGTGTCCCTTTCATGTATGTTTGTAAAGTAATCCGCGGCACAGGATATATTCCTAATGCGGGCGTTGTCTTTTTTAATAAAAAAGAAAAAAAATCCTGACTAATGCGATAAACGCGAACGTTATTTAATTGTTTTGCTACCACTGTCTTAATGCTAGTAAATATAACTGTTTATTTAGAAAGATAGTGAGTCATAAAGGTCAAAATAGTTTGTATATAATAGCTTCTGATATTTTTTACCTTCTTGTAAGAGAATCTACCTCATCCTTACTCTGCATCGCCCAATCGGCGGACTGGTAGAGAATGCATTAGGCATTAAGTCCGCCGTTGCTGTTTGTGCATGAAGTTATAAAATAAATAAATAATGGAGGCATCAGTGTTATAACACGAGAAGATAACTAACGAAAGAAGAAATTAATCTAAATCTTGTAGAAATATTCTCTTCTACATGCACGTTATTTGTGGTTAGTAATCCTGACTGCTAAACCAGAGGTCGTGGGCTCGGTTCCCATCCAGATCAAACAATTGTGTGATGAGCACGATAATTTATTCTGTGTATGGGTGTAATTTATATGTAAAATGTATATATATTGAACAATATATAAGTATGTTTGTCAGCAGTCTGGTTGACATAGTACGGCTATGCGTAGTTCGGGATCAGACGGCCGTTTGTGAGATGTATGAGATTAGTATTATTACTTTAGGGTAGAATACTGTGTAGAAAACTGTAATGGTTTATACCGTCCTATCAGTAAAGAAGAACCTTTAGAACTAAATGTTGCACCATATTATGCTACAACGTGACTAACAAATGGTTTTGGTTTCAGAAGAAAGAGGAAAGATGGTACACAACGCTGATGCAGGTAGCTGTTCCATTCTTCATAGCCGGATGTGGTACCATCGGTGCTGGCCTTGTCCTAGGAACCGTTATGGTAAGTTCTCAATTTATCTCGTCTGATCATAATATCAGGATAAAAATAAAATTTTGAAAGGGAATACAGTTTCACCACCAGTCTTTACGGCTTTGTACATCGTATACTTATAAAAACATATACAAAACTTTTAAGCCATTTAAAAGAAATATCATGACTCGTTTGAATTTTGCCATTTCATTATTTTTATTGTCATTTATATGTTATTATACGATTCATCATCACGTCATCACACATCAACAGCCTTTAATAGTCCACTGCTGGACACAAGCCTCTCCTTAGAAAGGAGGTTTGGCCTACTATACCACGCTGGCCAGACGGGTTGGTATAGGGTTTGTGTCAAGTTTTCCTTCTCTCTGCAGTGTTATTGTTCTGCGTAGTTTTTTCCCTTAGTCGGCTCTTACGACACCCACGGGATGAATAGGGGTGATGACACTGTATTCTTAATCCGTCACCACACCATCATCATACATCCATCATCCACCATTGAAGAGTAGTTAAATTCGTTTGTTATTTTTTATTCTTAAAACCAGTCTTCACAGTAAACCATGAAAATAATGCACTTGATTAGAATTCCGCCTGAATACAACGCCTCCGATTAAAGGTTTTTTCATTGCTTTTTTATCTGCTTACTTAACTTAGTTTCCGTTTCTGGTATACCAATGATTTCATGGCCACGCTTCTGCAATCGGAGCAAAGATTGTAAGGTCGATTTCATTTTTGAATTAAACACAAGTAAATTCTGTAATTAATTTTTAAGGAATAATAAGATTAAATATTATTTATTGTCTTTTGGTCTCTAGAATATTTAATATATCCTTATTAAAATTGTGCGTAATAATAATGTTACGTGTAGGTATTAATTAAAACTAATTGACATCACATCACATATCACATCAACAGCCTTTAACAGTTCACTGCTGGACGTTGGCCTCTCCTTAGAAGGAAGGTTTTGGCCTACTTATCTCACGCTTCTCATTCACATAAGTCTTATTAAATAAAAGTTACAGCGAGGTTACCATACCGTATAAATGCAACAAAGGCAACAGCAGAAAATACAATTACTAGCTGGAAATCCGAAATAAGTAACATTTAACATTGCAGTTGTAGGACTGCATAGGAGTTAAGCAAAGCCCATGGCAGCTAAGACTGTCTATTCAATTTATTCTAACCTTATTATATACGGTGTTTTGTATTTAACCTAGTTGACCCGGCAGACGTTATTATTATATTATTATTTTAAAAAGAAAAATTACTTATACCTTCTAAAACCTTCTAAAATCACCTAGGTCTAATCGTGAAATTCAAAAATTCAAATAACCTCGCTAATTTTATTAAAATTAGTTAAGTGGTTTACACGAATTTTAGTGACGTATGTTACTGAAATTCTTGTAAACCAATTAACTAATTAATATATCTAAATAAACATTACAATATATAATATATTTCTGTTACAGCACTGGGAGGTCTTCCAAAACGTATCTGCAATATTTGTACTAGTCCCTTCGCTCTCTGGTCTTAAAGGTGAGTTACACTATTTTATTTTAAATTGTACCAGTCATACCTCGTAGTTTTACCGACGTGTATGACCACAACCACGATCCTTTAGGTCATAGCGTGATGTTACGTAGCCTATAACCACACAAATACATATCAGATACAAAACAACATAGAGAATTCGTATCAAATAGAATGTAAAACTCATTTTATACGTACGTTTTTCCGAATATTCTATCAAATCGTTATTTGAATAATTTCTAAAGAAAACCTCGTCACAACACTGACAATACAAAATTTAACAATACGTTCCATCATACAAACCACTGGCTATTATTATACTTCAGGCATATTGAGGTTACGTTATAGATATTGTAAAGAAAACAATTTAACATGTGTAATTGTGTGATACAAGTTTTGGTGTAAGGTAGGTGTGTAAATACGTAGTGAATTTTTGTGATTAACGAGTATAAATAAACCTTTAAAGTATCTAGTACTACGACCAAAATTGATTATTTATTTTATTTAAAAACAACTATTATTACAGGTTTAGCCCAATGCAATAGTGTTATACCATCTACTTATTTATTATAAGAAATAATTCTTAATGCTGTTATTGTGAATTCACTCAATGAGCAATAAAATAAATTATATTATATTTTATTATTATATGTAGGTACTTATATAAATATGATGATGTACATATGGGCCAGGCTCAACCAGAGTTGTACCACGGCCTCACAGAAAACCGATATTAATCAGTTCTTAAATTGGCCTTCACCGAGTTCGTGAGGGTATTGAAAGCCAAAACCTCCCCTTGATTTTGGAAGGAGGGACGTGAAGGGAGAATTCAATGAATTAATTTCGAATACAATCGACCACACCAGTTTTGTCATAACTTAATATAACTTGACGATGTTTTGATTTATCGTTTTAAAGATTCATTTATTTACCCTGGTGATTCAAAAAGGACAGGAAGAAGATTGCATAAATAAGTTGTGACAGTTACTTATTTTTTACTTCTTCTTGATAGGAGTAAAATCTAACAGAACAAGAATTCCATTCTTGAACATTTTTTGAGGTGAAAACTTAAAATTTCAAGTTTTCACTTCTGTTGGCACTCCCGGAATGGCACTGTTTTTTTTAGCTTAGTTTAGTAGTAGCTTTACCAAGTGTAACCTAAATATGTTTTGAGTCTCCCAGTAAACATTTTTGCAAGTTGTCCGTAAACATAGTCCAAAGATATAAATCTGTCATTTACTCGCCTCGTCCCGTCAAGATTGTCACATAATTACAAATGGTGGCGATTATTGTGCCATTGTCTTCTTACAAAGGAGATGACGTGTTTTATACATAACTACATCAATCAGAGATGAAAATGACCGAATTTAAAATTGCTCGTTTTGCCGTCTTTTTTAGCTTTGTCACTGTAGTGTATACACATCTAGGATAACAATAGAAGTAACTAAATACTGTTTAACTATAGATATATAATATATACTTATGTGTCTAACTATTTATCTGTCGTCTCGAGAGACGTGCTCTGCTGGGCCGCACTGTTGTAAAGAGATTCGTAAATCCACCGCTGCACCGTTCAGACAGAGTTCGCACGCGCCGAGCCGATATTCATATTATAATATCATTATCTACAATACTTTTAACATTACTAGTGTACATTACAGTCACTTACACCTGAATTTTATTTGGCCTTTGCTAATTAAAAACAGATTTTGAATATTTTTATTTTGTTGCTACGTAGTAGTGTTACAAACTTACAAAAATAGATGTCAAAATAGGGTTTTAAAATTAGTATGGGCATTTCTTAAGCTATTTGAAATCAATTGCATATAATATGTTGTTAGAACATACTAATCGTGATAACATACAAACACACACTTTTTTGTTCGTTATCTCATTAATCGTGCATTGTGTCAATACTAGTCCACCATATAAGGATTGAAATACCTCAAGTTTTGTACAGTAAGAAAGTAAACAAGCTCACGATACGACCAATGGTAAAATAACCCTTAAGCAAACATCAAGACTAAGTATAGATTAGTAAAAAAAACACGATATAAATAACTTGCGTGATGAAAATGATTTATTATCTGTGCGTGTCACTAACCATAGATATTAACGTCTGAGACTGCTAAGAAAATTGAGTTAAAAAAGAAGTAAACGTTGCAATTGATCGTTCTTTACATTCATACACACATAATTATGTATACCGCTCGTTCTGAACGTACCTATATAATATTATATTATAGCTGGTACCCACGACTTCATTTGCGTGGAATTTGAAAAGCGCTGCCTTAGTGTCCGGACCGGGCAAAAATTTTAAATGGTTTTTCTGAGGGGAAAAATAACCTCAATTGTTCCTTATTAGACAGCTACCTGGTAGTAAAATATTATCAAAATCGTTTCACCCGTTTAGAAGATTACCTGGAACAAACAGACAGACAGAAAAAAATTAAACTGGTTTTTAGGCATAGGTATCGTGCAAATAACCGTGTGAGCATGAAAAAAACTTGTAATGTTGACATTACAAACAGACACTTCAATTTTATTTATTTGTATAGATGGTGAGTTTATATTTCATACAAATACGTTGTAAGAATTCGATAAGAAACCAAATTGTATTCGATCCAATTACTATTATTGTTTAAGTATCTATTCTTTTTCTGAAATTGCTTTATTTTTATGTTTTGTAGACTAAAGTTTGAAAATGAATCCATTTTGTTTTACAATTTCATAGTCTATGGTCTGTCAATGCTTTGCGTTTGATTAAAACCCAATTCCTCTACACATTGATTACAATAGTTACTTAAACTATAAGTACTTATGACTCAGGTCATTTAAGAACTAAAGATTAAGTATAACAATTAGAACATTTATTTTTATTGATATGTCTACCAATAGACGCCACTATAAATAAATAGAACAAATATTAGCTCACGACGGCCCCATAATTATATTACTATCTCAACCCATTATAAATGGATTAAGTGAGGTACTTAACACTTAACACCGCCGCAACAAGCCGATTCCCCATTGATGAAGGATCCCAACTGGGACCAAAACAATTCTAACAAAACCTAATAAGCAATTGGAGGGTGGACGTCAAGTAGGCGCCTGACTTTTCAAAAATAGGGAAATCTCTTATGTTATGCGTCATATTTACCAGACCCAAAAATGTAATATATAAAATTCTCGTGTCACAGTGTGCGTGGTTGAACTCCTCCGAAACGGCTCATTTTCGTGAAATTTTGTGTGCATATCGGGTAGGTCTGAGAATCGGCCAACATCTATTTTTCATAACCCTAATTTTTGTTTTTTTTTTTTGACAAAAAAATTTGAAATAATGTATATGACAAAACAACGTTTGCAGGGTCAGCTAGTATTTTATATAATGATAAAGGCTTCCCTAGAAATTTTTACCCTTGTCTAATTTTGATAATAAAAAACACAAACATCTGGTTTAGAACAACTGTCTGCCCACAATTCTGATCCATGTCTTATTATACGTTACAATACTAAACAATATAATCAAGTCGTAATTGTTATCGGCACCCATTGTCTTCTAATGTATGTCGTGAACATACATTATTGACCAGGGGAAGTACAGTTTTCAACAAGTGGTCTTATTGAAGGTATTTATTTTAGTCATCGAATATTTTATCTTTTCTGATTAGACACTTGCTTTTACCTATGTTATTTATCGCGGTAAAACGTAGGGTGTGTCCATCCTTAAATATCAAAGTATCTCCAACTTTCGTTAAAATGGTTTCAGAGGGCTTAGCCGTAAACTCGTAACAGACACAGAAAAAGTTAGTTGCGCATTTATAATATTGATTTGGATTTTATATTAGTTTGGCCTGTTTATCATTATCTTTGGACTTGAGCCTTGTTCAAAGTGTCATTAACTTAAAAATTTGCACACGTATCAATGAATAATGACACCAAAACATCATTAAAACAAAATAATTTAGTTAGTGAGGATTAGCGATGTGCTTCATTTTCGATTGTAAGGAATTGTGTCGTGATCCGATCTTCAAGTTGATTAGCATGCATTTCATCAACTTCTCAATAAATCGATAAAAAAACAACATAAGAAAAAAATAATGTGTCCCTTCGTTTGGTACTTTAAACTACTTTAAAGGAATAAAAAAAAACACTTGACTTTAAAGGCGGTAATAATTTATTAACTGCATTCTATAGAACACAACGACATAATAAATGATAGAATAAAACAAACGTGGTTCCAGAAAACCTAAATTTCACATACTACCCACATTATTTCTTAGAATTAATAAACACGCGCTTATCCTTTGTGTCGTGTCATATTTCTGCCCGCTGACGCTGATAACAGATGCTAATAATAATAAAGATATAAAGCACCGACCCTTTTGTTTATTACTCATAACATAAACAAACCAAAAGTACCACAGCTGACCTTGGCCGTTCGTACCTATTGAACCGCAATCGGATACTTGATGTTGTTGAATCGACATGTCGGCTCACATGAACTTGATAAGATTTGTTAATCGATCCTGTGGAAGCTGTGGTTGTTACAGTAGGGATGCTTTTACTCTAAATATGAGTGTGGTGACGGATTGAGAATACGGAGTGTCACCATCCCTATTCCTACCGTCGTGGGTGCGTAAGAGCCGACTAAGGGAGCAAACTACGCAGATAACACACTGCAAAGAGGTGTAAAACTAAACAGAAACCCTATACCAACACGTCTGGCCAGCGTGGTATAGTAGGTCAAAACCTCCTTTCTAAGGAGAGGCTTATGTCCAGCAGTGGACTATTAAAGGCTGATTTTATTATGTTTTTTTAACCTTTTGACTCTGTCTTTTATTTACCGACTTAGATTTGTTTTATTTTATAGGCAATTTTTTCCGCTAAGAACGGCTAGTTTATTAGTGTATTTTTCTTTAATTTTCTATTTTCATTTTTTTTTTAATAATGTCATACTTCTAATAGTCTAGTCTAGTTTATGTAAGATCTATGTACAGATCAATCAGGCAAATATACCTTCACTCGCTGCGCCCCTCGGTGTTACCCGCGGCTTATCAATTCATTGCTTATGCCACAGGAACACTACTTTTTTGGAATAAAAATTGTCTATGAGTCAATCGAGGGTGTCAGCTACCTCCGTACCAAATGTTATCAAATTTAGTGAAGCCGTTTGAGGTTGAAGAAGTAACAAACATACAAACTTTCTTAAACTAATAAATGTTGTTATTGTTCGCAGGTAATCTAGACATGTGCTTAGCGTCTCGACTGTCAACACAGGCAAATCTCGGGAACATGGACTCACCTAGGGAACTCGTGTCCATGGTCGTGGGGAACATATCACTGGTCCAGGTAAGATTACTACGTCATAATAATTATTATTATTTAAGTTTCATCATCATCTTTGTCAGACAGATGAAATGCTCAAATGACTAAAATGTATGTAGAAAGGTAGCCTATTTCCTTCTTCAAGAATCAAACTATCTCTATACCAAATTCCATCTTAATCGGTTTAGCTGTTTAAGAGTGAAGAGGTAACAAACAGACATACATACACACATACAGATTTATGTATATTTCTTTGGCACGCTCTGTAACCTAAACGGTTGGATGTATTTAGTCGTTCGAGGTGTTGTTATACATTACACACAGTCGAGTTGTTGTTTCTTTAAATTAGCTAACATTCTTGCTATTGTTTGCTGTTTTATCTTTGTGTCTTAAACGATTAACTAAGTAAGTACTTTTATCTATTTGTACTGCAGAACCTGTCAATACTCGCTAGGTTTCACAAGAGATTTTCTCAAGGAAAGTGGTGTGTTTTACAGATTAAACTCTGGTATCTAGAAATAAATATTACTTACACACTTAAACTCTAGAAATAATCTAGAAATAAATATCACTTACACACGGTAAACACTTATTCATATACATACAATAATAGGATAATCTTTATATCTTTAAACAAGATGCAAGTCAAACACCTCGGCAGAGGCCCGAACTTTCAGTCCATTAATTTTCTTTTTTCTTAGGATTTCTTTATAAAAGTAAATCTTTTACATATTAGTACGTCATTAATAAAATTTGTTTTTTTTTTAACTCTTCTATCTAATATGGCAGGCTGATAAACATACTAAAGTATATATTTGTAAATCCATAAAAATTATAGATAAATTAATTAGTTCATTAATTATTATAATTAAATTTTTCAAGGTTCAAGCGATAGTAGCAGCGACAGTGGTGTCGATATTCGCGATAGTGGTGAACATCATCACCGATCGTGGTATCAACGGCTCGTTCATCCTGCTACTGATCGCCAGTGCGGTCTTCACAGCCACTACTACCTGCTTCGTACTAGGTTTGCAACTGCCAGATATCTTTGTATCTATCTATAATTTATATATTCTTTATCTTTTTACGTTAAGAAAATAGTGATCAAGCCCGCCCCCTGCCTGGCTAATCAGATTCCAAAGCCCCGGGAAAGGATGCTTCGGAGATCACCTGTGTCTGACAGATAAAAACTCATGTGTAAAATTCCTTCCAAATTATTTGACTAGTAAGGTAAATAGATATAAACACTCTCACTTTCTTAGAAATAGGAATTTACAGTTTATACATTTTAATTTTCAATTGCCCTTGCCTTGCCTTGCTGGCCTACCCATGCCGTCTATAATTATTTCCCAAACCAGCACAGTTATTCCCAAGTGATATATTATCGCAATATTTTATATTTTCATACGTTACGTTCGTAACACAGTTTAACACTGAACACAACATAATGTCCACGTAATGTATCTATTTTACGACCGATTGGATTACCTTACGTGCTTCGAAATAATGCAGGAACAATCAAGTAAAAAACTATAAAAATTAACTGATAATATGAAGCGCATTACATTATGAAGTGTCACGACTTATGCCATGAATATAAATATATACACATATAATAATAAATTAAGACATCTAACACACTAACTATCGTCTGATCCCAAACTAGGATGAGGATGGTAACCAGATGGGCAATCCTCGTAATAAAAGTACCACTAAAATTTTGTTCCAATCAACTGTTGATCTTGCAACTGACATAAAAAGTATTTTCGTATAAAGTATTAAACATCCCACGTTGATTTTCATGTGATTAAATAGAGCTAGCGACCCGCCCCGGCTTGCGCGACTGCAATGTAGATCCTACTAACACTACTAATGTGGTGTTAGAGTGTGAAGTAATCAATCATATTATTATGATAAGACAATCCTACAGGAGATATTTATATACAATATTAATAGGCCCGCTCTACTCCTGCTGCCCTTTAAATCGAGAGTTTAATTTTTAATCGAGAGTTGATCGAAACTGTATCTTGTCCGCACTTTTATTACGATTATTGGCCTTCAGATTGATGAAAAATATACCAACATAAATATTACTAAAATCAAATAAAAATACACTCAGACACAGAACAAATGATCGTACTAATACTACAACAATTTTTCTGAGTGGTAATAGAAATAAAACCTGTTTTATGGTGTATTCCGTGTCCGTGTGGTGACGGATTAAGAATACAGGCTGTTGATAATGATGATGATGATTATGGTGTATTATGGTTCAAGGGCAAACGAACAGACGAGTCACCTGACGGTAAGGGACTGCCACCGCCCATGTGCACCTGCAACTCAGTCTCTCTTGACTCTCTTTTGGGTTCCGATCCAGTCATAGTCACCAGAGCCCTCCGATTTCTTTTCGACGGTCATCACGACTCCCCCCCCCAACAGACTCTACATGTATGTTTAATATTAATAGCATAAAATGATAAAAATATTTTTTTTACTGTAGACTTCGTGATCGTGATGGTGATTTATGGATCCTTCAAGCTCAAGGTCAACCCGGACAACGTGGCGACACCCCTAGCAGCATCTATCGGTGATATTGTCAGCAACACTGTACTAGCTGTCACTGCGCAGTACATGTACGACCAAATACGTAAGTAATATTATTCGTTACCTATATTTTGTATTCAAATTGACATATTTTAGGGATAGGATTTCTTTCATACATACTTCTATTTATACTCCAATTTATACGCCAATTTTGCCCCTCCATCGAAATAGGGGGCATGCCTATTACGTACTTTAACGATTAGATGAAAAATTGGCGGTATACCGTATACTGAAAGGAATCTACTTCTGTGCCAAATTTTATCCGAATTAGTTCAGCCGTTCTGGCGTGATCGACTAACAAACTTTTACATTTATAACAATAGTAGTAAGAAGGATTTACTATATTTCCAACTCCTCCAATTTTCTTCTTATTAATTTCGTTGGAGTTCCAAGACAGTTTTAATTTTGCCTGGTCTTCCAGAGTGTCATAACACGGTGTGTTCGTGGGTCACTGCTGTTGATGGTGGTGTACAGGAGTTTCAGTGAATAGGTGTGTGAAGGGATTAGTCTCGTAAAAAAAGTAGTAAGAAGAAAAAGTATCTATTAAAAACATTAACGACGCGCCTAAAACATTATGGATTTGCCTTATCATTAACTCGCACACCCATTTTTATTAGTAATAAAAATATGGTTATCGTATTTTCTTATCTATACTGTAGACATTACTAACGAATAATAATAATGTTTACTTTTGAATGAGACCATGCAGTCTTCCTGCGATCACTTCTTGTGTCATGTGTCGTTTAAAGTCAGTCAAAATCACGCCCAAAGGAGTCGGTCACAAACATACAAACAAACATACAATTGAAGCTAATATAAATCGTGTAAAAAGGACACCTCTGTGGCTGGCTCCTTCTAGCTAAAATATATTTATAGAAACCATACATACAATAGAAACAATACCATTTATCATTATTTATGACTAATGAAGTCTCACCATTCCTTCATCGGACTACCAGATAAAAGTTTCATTCTGTTATTGTTGAAACACCAGAAAATGTAACTAAACATTTCGATTGCCTTTTTGGATCAAGTCGCTAGACAATTATGACCCTTGGAAGTTCAATAGTGGAGTGCATAGGATTCTCTTGGGTAGGCGTGTACCATCTTCGTCATTATCTATCACACAGAGTGCCTTTTCTTAACTTTTTTAGGGATGTAGTAATAGCACTACATTGACACTAGATGGCGCTGTCTTTAAGTACTTTTTTTCTTTATTTTACCTTTTTCTCTATTCACCTTTTTTTTTTACAGAGATAACACTATGGCATCCAATTGCGTTGATGTGCGTTTATTACTGTCTGCTGCCCATGTGGGTGTTCGTTGTGTATCGCAACAAGTACACCAAAAAGGTACTCACTAGTGGCTGGACACCAGTCATCTCCGCGCTCTTCATCAGTGGGTACGTATTTTCTTTTATTTATAATGGTAATACTAACTTGTCATATAGTTAAATCAATATAAATAATAAAACAATAAATAAAATATACCCTTAAGTGAACCTGAAAGTTCTGTGGAGAAAAAAGTATATCATATTTAGTACTACTTCTAGGCGTAGAATACAATGATGTAGTGAAAATAGTGTTCGTAATTTAATGTGACCCATTTCTTCAACAGTATTGGAGGTATTGTTCTGGACCAGGCCGTGGACCATTACCAAGGGTACGCAGTATTCCAGCCAATTGTTAACGGTATTGGTGGCAATCTGGTGTGCGTACAGTCTTCGCGTCTGGCTACCAAATTACATCAAACGGCGATTCCTGGAGTTCTACCCGAGAACACTAGAATCTTGGAATGGCCATGGAGGACGTTATTCTTCGGAAGTGAGTTTGCTTTTTATTTTGTTTTAAAAGTACCTAGGAGCGAAACTATCTAGAACTCTCTCTTACGATCAAAAGTGGTCAGAAGATCAATTTCAACAGGTGAAAGTTAAAGTAAGTTAAAGTCGTGGCGTAACGTGGCATCATAGGAATTTACATTTTTACAAAATAAAGAATTATATGGATTTTATTTATTAAGAAATATAAACTTTTTTGTACCGAGTAACATGGGTTATTAATAAAAACACATAAATATATTTGATAACTAAAGTATTTTCTTTCTTCCAGCTGCTGCCGCTAAAGTCGCTCGCATGTTGCTGACGTTGGCACTCTTCGGGCAGATCATCTTCATGATAGTCGCTGACTTTGTCTACCAGGGCCTTGTCACCATTCAGCTACCCTTTGGTATTACTTACCTCCTGTGCTCGCTATTACAAGTGAGTATTTATTTTATAAACTTTAAGTAGCTTTAACTTCTTCAAGCCAAGATGACTAAATATAGTTGTCACTTATTGCCGAAGGAAAATCAGAATAAGTTATTCCTGGATTAAACTTTATAAGGTTAAAACTCCATAATCAATTAGCCAATGGCAGTAGTTTGTATGGAATTATAATAGTGTCATTATTTTGAAACTAGATGGCGTATTCTTATTCTCGTACAAATAGTTATTACCAACAACGAAAGTGTAGGTCGGTAGTAAAACATTATATTCCATTCCAGGTCATGGTGCTGCTGTACTTGGCCTACATTTTGGTCCACCTCATGTGGAAGAAGAAGAAGGACCCTGACAACGCGGCCATCCCTTACCTCACCGCTCTTGGGGATCTGCTCGGCTCCATCTTCCTCGGTCTTGCCTTCGTCATCTTATCAATTTTCGGCTTGGAGTACGGAAACAACGTCCAATGAACTTGAACGGATGAAAGCCTATTGATCTTAAATAGAAATCTGTCAAACAGATTGTAACTAAATTAGTTTTGGATTTATGACATCCAGTCTTGTATTTTAGAATCATATTTTCGTAAGGGTCCGGGTGACAAGACTAAGAGTTCCTTTGAGGGACGGGACTGATTGAGGAAATGTCCTGACGTTCCTTTAAAGTTTGCTGAGCAGCTGTTAAAACTGATAATACCAAAGTTAATGGAATCATTAATCGCGCTAGAAGCTATACTAAGTTTTACATGTGCTTTTTAGATGAATTTTCCCTATCAGTTTGATAATATTGGACAGATATACGAGACTTTACTAACACAAAGTATTGAATGACATTAAAATTATTGATTGTCAAATTAGTGTGCCAATATCTATTGATGATGATTGTCTTACTGTAAACGGGACAGTATTTTAATGAATTCAAAGATGTAACGGTTTTAAAGTATAATTTATAGATATTTTTTTAAATATTGTTGCATGTGATGTAATCTGTTTTGTCAAGAGTTGACAATCTTAGGAGTCAAAACTGTGATAATTATGAAAAGTGAAAATGTGACTATTACAATTATTTATACTTGTATCATCACTTTTAAATGAAATGGGCAATAAACTGAAATTTAGGATTTCGGTAACTTATTGTGCAGTTAAATGATGTTATGGTATTGACTCTCTTATTTTAAACCTTATTTATTTAAGCAGAAGGTTAATTTTAGGCTAAGATCAAGTAAAGCAAGGTCCCAATTTTGCTCCTGTTTTTTTTATATCTACTTTTTAAGCCTGTAAAGAAACATTTTTAAATCTTATTTTCTATTCTGGCAATTGTTTAATTGTTCAAATCAGAAATCATATCCAAACTGAATAAAAATCGATTTTAATAATTTTTTTGACATTTTATGTAAATATTAACTTGTGACACGTGTACTGTAATATAACATCATTTGTTAGTAATTATTTGTGATATAGAACTTATTCCATTTACACTTGGTTTTTGAAAGAACTATTTTGTACCTTTAAGCTTTGGGAATAAGATTGATTTGCCATTGACACTTTTAGGTCAATACCGGAATTCGATTGTACCATTAGTGTACCATTTCAGTATTACGTTCAGGATGGTATCTGGTATTGACGAAAAATAATGGCTCATTATAATCCCTGAGGAAAAAAAAAATCTGTTATGACTTGCCAATGCACATATTATATCACAAATTGGGTTTGCATAGTTATGTCATTTATTAAGTATTTACCATTTGTGTAGCATAAATAACTAATAACGAATATAGCGTCAATTAAAAAGCAATGAAAAAACAATCTGAGGCCGTATTGCGAGTTTATATCACATCTATTCGATCATCACGATGAGCGGGCGGCGATTGGCCCGCGCTAACCTCTACACTAAACACAGCACCGAACGCGGGTACTGTGACGATCGAGTCGATGTGATATTTCACATCAACACTAAGCCCTCTGAAAGCCTACTTCAAGATTGGTAAAGATTTCGGTGCAGGCCAATCGCAGCGCCGAACGCAGTCACCATAAAGATCGGTTAGATGTACTGATGATACATACGCAATGGCGTTTTAGTAAAAAAAATTGAAGCCACATTTAAATATGATTGAGATATTAAAGACTTTTATATGAAATCTCGACAATAAAGGAACTGCTGCAATGCATTTTTAATCTTATAAACTGCCTTAATTTCCATTGTTAAAGTATTTTGAGCAATTACCTAACCTTAAAAGAACGCCGGTACTCAGAACATTCCTTGTGTTCTGAGTACCGGCGTTCTTTTTGTCCGTTACTTTTAAATAATTAACGTCAAACAAATTTTAACAAGCGACAGAATGTCTTAAATATAGACTTTATTTGAAATGTACTTTAGAAGTGTTTTTAGTTCATGTTTATATTTTAAACTACTGACCAACTAGTTGAGCCCTTTTAAGAGTTTTTATATTCAATACTAATTAAACCAAAGCAGCTAATAAAAAAAAAAAACGGTGCCGAGAAAAAGACATATTTTTAAAGTTCTTTTCAAAAACCAAGTGTTTTATATGTATTTAGTTTAGGCAATTGAGTACAATAAAGCAATTACGTAGTTTTTAAGTTAAGAGGCCTAAAGTAATTTATTGAATAATTTCAAGTCGATGGGTTTAACGGTTATGTCCAATCGATTAGTATTAAAAAGCATTTGAACTGGATGTAGAAAATAATATAGTATTTTAAATTGTAACCCAATAATGTATGTACAGATCTCAAGCACTGCTAGGTACCTATGTGAAGTAACATTTAAAAAAACCGGACTCATTAATTTCGCACTAAATTTGACGAAAAATATATAACTTGTATAAATATTGAGAGAGTGATAAAAATAGACATTATTTTATTAGAAAAGTTTTTAAAATGATAAAAAAAAACATTAATTTTAAATTACAGGTTTTACTAAAAAATCTTAAGGCGATTATCAGACTGCACGGCGCTCCGTCGTTTAGCGCGCGGCCGTAGATTTTAATGTACGTATACGTACGTACGCCGACGTTTTGTCAGAGTGTTGTCCGTGTGGCGGGATTTCTTTACTATAAAAGGAGATACTTGCTCACTATGTTAAAATCTGCTTTCCCGCACTACGCGTCGGAGCGCAGTGTAGTGTGAAAACCGCCTAAGTGTGAAAAGTACAGTCTGACACACAAATTCTAGTAGAAAATATTTTTTTAAATGTTAGTTGAATACAGTGCGCGTGTGTTGACTGTACTTTTCCTGTCTAGTAGAAAAATCTATGACTAATACAAAAAGATGTTGGTGTACATTATCTTGACAATTTTTAATACTTTGCATAAATTTTAAAAGGTTAAATTGTACTCAAATTTTAGTATAGTTTGGTTATCCTATGAGGCAGACTGGCAAATGTTTCCATAATACATATTTTTTTCGGAAAATTGTTTTTTTTTTCAGACATTTTTTTTGTAAATGTAACTTTGTATATTTAATGACAAAAGGTATATTTATTACTTATTGTCATTCGATAATATGGGAAGTTTTAGTTTCGAAGAGAAAATATTATTTGCCGAAAATATTTTTTATTATAAGCTCTCCATTTTACCTATTATACCACTCCCCTTTCTCCAAAATATTATTCCATCTGCCTTTAACAGGTTGTAATATAACTACAGTTATTCATTTTGTTTAACTCTTTTCTTCTTTTTCATAAAAATTCTTGAGATATTGTACCCCAAATCCTAGACATATTGTAAACAAGAAGTGATCATAGTGTAGTAATGTTAAAGTATATTTTTGAATGAATGAGAATGTGATATAAATGAGATTTTAACTTGTATATAATGAATTGTTATGTAGTACGTAATTTGCAGGAAATATTGTTGATAGTTGTTAGAAACGCTTGCCTTACGAGAGGTTATCCCACACCTACATATATAAATCAATATATTATTATTATTAAAAAATTAAATTACATCACATTTGTGTCCGTTTTGTTTAGCAAATTTTTTTTTTACAATTAAATTTTCCTCCTGTGTATGGATATGAAATGTATAAAATGGCTTCTAATAATATCATAAAAATCATGTAACTAGTAAAGTATTTCATCGTAACCGACTGTTAATCATCCACTTATTATAAAAGGACTTTCGACTTAATTATGGACAAATGGTGCCATTAAATATTATATAATAGTTTTATAACGCATCACTTATTTTTACCACTGGGTAATAGAAGTCAAAAACTTGTTAAAAAAACATTAAATTAGAATATTTTCGCGTCCACGGAAATGACAAAAATTGTGTGTTTATAAAAAACTTAGTTCTCGTTTTAATCATACTCATGTTATATTAAACATCGTAATTAATATGTCAATTCTTCACATACGAATTGTATAAATTTGTATCCACGAACTGTCAAATATATATGACGTGTGATGGTTCGTTTAGAAATCTTTTGATCAAAATGCTTGTAAAACCGTCTTATTGTAGAAAAATAAGTTAGTATTGTATACAAACATTCCTGAACGCAGCTTTTGAAAGACATGATCGACGTATCTATCATTATAGTTTAAGTTTTATACCATCAATGTATTCCTATTGTGATGTCCAAACATAGTGAAATATAAACTTCATTTCAAAATAAAATGAATTAAGAATTTACTTAACGTGTTTTCATTATCAATCAGCTCTTATTATGGAGTCTACCTTAGAGAATTCCCTTATTAAAGTTGCCCTATAGAGGAATAATGAATATTAAATCGACCATACAATAATATAAAATAGGCTCACAGTTTTGTGAGCTGCCGTTACTTCAGTTTGTAAAATGTCGATTACATTACCTTACATGTCAAATGTCAAATATTAGCTTACATTTTTATATCAAGGATCAGTATTTATCTGATACCTAGTATAATTAACATTTTGAAGTATACTAATAACACAATCTTAAGCACAAGCTTAAAGTTGAGGTAAAAACCGAAGAGGTTTTGGAAACAATCACAAGACCTCAACTTTTTAAACGAAATCTTGTATCTGAGTTACTTTAGATTAAAAGTTACTAAAAAGTTGGTTAATGATCACAGTACAGAAAGTGACTATAGTTTTTTTTAACAAGATCACCAGCAAGACTGCTGGACATAGGCCTCTCCTTGGAAAGGAGTTGGCCAGACGGGTTACAAGTTTTGCCTTCTCTTTGGAGTGCTGTTGTCCTGCGTAGCTTATTCCCTTAGGCACCGACGACACCCATCGGAAGAATAGTGGTGGTGATACTCCTTATTCTTAATCCGTCACCACACGGACTTCTAAAGATAGACAATAATGTGCACACACAAGTTTAATTCAGGAACTAAAAGAAGAAAGAATTAATATTCTTGTAAGTGGAACCACTAAACCTTGCTATGGCAAATATAAGGCAGCTTTTTTTCTTTTGTTATGTTAGAGGGGGCAGACCAGCAAACGGGTCGCCTGATGGAAACTGACTATCGT